GGTGTTGGACCCACTGCGCTACAGATGCGTCCAAGCAAATCTGGGCTTAAATCGCGGCGGCGCAAAATGCAGGATTTGATTTGCAGCCTCACTGATGAAGGTTCCTTTCTTGAGAGCCCCTGTTCTGACTTGCCGAGGAATAAAAACAGCAGTTTCGCGCTGGTTGAATGTTGGGCATGATGCGGTGGTTCGCCATCTCTACTGGTACAGTGCATGGCACGTGTAGTGACACCAATTTGCTCACTATTTTGGTGTTTCAGACCGTGCTGCCGTCTGGGTGGCTGATGCTTAGTTCTGCTTACAGGCCGTGGCTGCTTGACATTGTGAGGTGGGTCCCGGATGTTGTCTTGGATTAACATGGGGCGAACAAGACTGGGCAAATTATAGAGTGCGCACCGGTCCAGGGGTACAACGAGCGAACGCCCCACAATGAAGGCTTCTATTTTGGGGATTTCATATTAGGTCGTGATCATTTAGTTGCTCAGATGGCATGCATTTTCGTTGTTCCTCACTTCTTCTGATCAGGACATGTCAGTCAGGACTCACACACAGCAGGGATGTCTGAAATGCCGACCCGTCCTACCCCGAATGGCTCCGCTTCCACCATTCTTTTCCCAGTGAGCTGTTGAAGCAAATTGCACGCTGAGTTTCCCAACTGAGCTAGACTGTTTGTCCTCGGCAAGTAAGTTGGTCTCACCTGAACAAGATGGCAAGGAAACCGAATTGCGCTAGCTTTTGCTCGTTGCATCAGCGAGCTGTGCCCAAAACCCACAGATTCGGAGGGTTGCTTTGAGATGACGAAGCCAGTATGGTATCGGGGTATCGGGTCCGGTGAATGGGAGCAACGCTTCTAGTTCCACCGAGTTACGCATCATGAACCAATCCCTTTTGTCCATGCCAGCGGTTCATGAGTTTCCAACCTGCAGCCTTTGCATTCCATTTCGAATTTCGGGCCCTTCCATGTCCTTGCGCTGAGTTCGGCCTGGACGACGCTTGCCTGGACATGGTGACCTTAGCTCCCTGCCACCGCCGCGCAGGGGTGCGGGTGGCCCAGCGCGGTCACATCACCGGGGATTCGCGATGTGCGAGGCCGCGCGCGTACTGATCTTCCCAGAACTACGGGAGTCGTGAATCTCCAGCCACATCATGTCCACAGGGTCCGTGTTCTCCCAGCCTCTCATTGCCAGCTTTGAGTTTGGGCCTTCATTGGATGTTCAACCACAATTGATTTCACCCTGCAAATATTGGGGCAACTGGGGGATCACCAGTTGCTTATACGCGTAGTTATAACCTACGTAATGTGTCGAACACCAAAGTGACTGATTGAGCCAACTTATGGGGCAAATAGGATGCCCACCATGCGGGCGGGGGTGACCCACGCAAAGGAATTCAGCAAGGGCAGCGGAAAACGGACTTCTCTAAGAATGTATTCGCAGAACTCAATTTGACCCAGGGCGATGGGCAAGTTCTTTTCCAAAAGCATCTGATATGCTTCCTTGACCTTGGGAGATTCGCGCGGAAAAAAAGCAGAAAAAACCGAGGCCTGCTGTATGAGTTGCCACGAAAGGGCGCCCGCCCGTTCCTGTGACGTTTTGAGCACGACCACATTTGACAGCCAATTCGAGCCCCTACTCACAAAGTACCTGTGATTGTATTACAATAATCAGAAGACAATAGAACACAACAAGGCATCAAACAGCTTCCTTGCAACCTTGCATTGTCAATTTGCAAATTGCAAAGAGCCCGCCTAGCAAGGTTTCTAGATAGTACACTAGTTGGGCAACGTTCAGTTGGGTTTGATCGAGTTGGGGCGTGATGTTGAAATCCGAAGTGTAGGGACCCCTGTTTCGATGTGCTTTTTTCATAAGTCGGATCACGTGGCATTCTTGGCCTTTTTCGCTTGCACGTGGCGCATCATGGCGCTCAAGCGAAAGTCACCACCATTTCGAGGGGCGGGCTTTACAGCGACCTGCAAATGTCTGGTGTCATTATTTTGACGGTTTCGACCTATAATTACCTATAGCATAACAAGTTGCATAGTTGAGCCGGTTTGGATGTGTTTGTAGTTCCCTCCCTCCCTCCCTCCCTTGCTCTCTCTTTATCTCTCTCTAGCCCTCTCTCTCGTCCTTTGCGTTCTATCTACACGGGTGACGAGGGTGAATCCACCCACCCTGGCATGTTTGGTTCCCGGGTCAGTTTCGAGATCCTCCCTGAGGCGTTCTCCTGCAGCGCGCAAGCCTTCCAGGAGCGGGGCAAGGGATGCACCGAGACATTTCTTTCGGGAAGAGGAATGCCTATGGCGAGCTCACGGACCCGGGGAAACGCGAGCGATTCGCCATGAAGGTCCTGAAGCGAGAGAGAGAGGGAGAGAGTGAGAGCTAAAAGTCATCAGAGATGACCAACCTACCGAATGAATAGACGAGAAGTGATTTCTATCATGTAGCCTACGCTCTGTCTCTAGGAGTAGGAAATATAGGGAAGAGAAAGCATGAATCACTAAATCTTAGTATTTGTTCCAATACTTGTTCCATATTCTTCTGCATAATGTGTATTGGTCGTCGATTGTCTTCTTCTTTACCCGTCATAATAACCTCACCCAACCCATCTTTCCAGCATCTTATCTCTGTCTCACGAAGTCGTTCCAGAGTCCAATTGCACACACACACACACACACACACACACACACACACACACACACACACACACACACACACACACACACACACACACACACACACACACACACACACACACACACACACACACACACACACACACACACACACACACACACACACACACACACACACACACACACACACACACACACACACACACACACACACACACACACACACACACACACACACACACACACACACACACACACACACACACACACACACACACACACACACACACACACACACACACACACACACACACACACACACACACACACACACACACACACACACACACACACACACACACACACACACACACACACACACACACACACACACACACACACACACCGTCCACAAATCTACAATTCCAAGACCTAACAATAGATCCCCGGGTGACCCATGTCTTCACACATATACTAGATGTCTACGTTGGGGAATGAGAATTAGCCCGGCGGGCTGGAAAGACAAAAGTGCTTTGCTAGCACACCAGGGGTTGGACGTTGAGGCGTCCACGTTTAGCACAAACCGCCATCAGAGCGGCTTTCCTGAAGGCTCACAAGGAGACGTGTGCGCGTTTGAGATATGGATTTGAGTTGAGTGCTTTTGCGCAGATCATATGGCCTTCATTTTCTGGAACTGGTAATCTCCACAAGTCTAGGGCCTTATGGATGGAGCTGAGAGCACTTTGAGGAGCTGATCTGCTGCGGCATCCGATCACTCGCCAGGTCTCCTCAATGTTTTCACTTGCTTGATGCTGCATTTTGCTGAAGAAGGGGCAATACCCGGATAGGCATCAAATCAGAGACCTATTCGAAACCATTCAAGAGCAGGTCCAACTGACTGAGCCAATAAGACTCTCTCAAAATCTTTGGAGAGGGCTAGTCTTGAGCACACGCACGGGGCCAGATTGAAAGGGGAAAGGGAAAAAGCAATCAACCAGGGCAGCCAAATTGAACAAGTTGCTCAATGGCAGCCGTGTTTTTCCTTTGGCTGGTTCACAACAACGGCTCAACCACGTCAACCCCAAAAAGAAATGTCAATAGCACCCATGTCAATTTCAGGGTGCCCGCAGGTCTGCTTCCTGAGCGAGTCGGATTGCGGCCATCCGCTGGACACGGGAAGACGGAAAAGTAACGAAGCCGCCGGATTTGTCCAATTTATCGCTGAACATGCGTGTTTGTTTGTGTCCAGAAATGAGTGTTTGGGGCTTCGGAATTTCATTCCCTTAGCTGTTCAATACGCTTATTGGCTTGTTGCTTGGGCCAAACAATGCTCATACGTACCAGCTTGTCCAGGTTCACCAACTTGCCGTGGCAGCAAAGACACACTTAGCCGGTTACGTCCATGGTTCTAACTGGCTTATAGCTGGCATATTTGGGGTTTATTATCCGCTTGTGCGGCACTGTTACCTCAGAGCGCAGAAGTCACCCTTGTCCGGGGTCCCATACAGTATGTGGCAGGAAGAATCCGGCCAAACTGTCCAGTAAGCTCTGGCCAGTTTGGGGGTTTGGGACATGGGACACCAAATCTCGTTGGGACATGGGAAACATTTGTAGAAGAATCTCATGGAGTCTCCTATCGGGCTCGAATCCAATATCTGATGTACAAGCATATGTGGCAAGCAAATCGTGCAACTCAGCTCCTTGAACGAAGGGTTCATGGCTGGTTTATGACATTTGGGCCAATTCTAGCAAGCTTACCCAGCTTGGTTCCGGCAAAGCCCGCAATTGGGTGAAGGCCCATTACTTGGGGATTCCTCATTTTGGGTGCGTGCTCCGGAGCCTGCGCGTTAAGATGCCAAGGTTCGGAAAATATGGGCCAGAATCTAGACGTGTTGTTCTGAGTTAGAGGGCAACAGTTGTGTGGTAGACCGCCAGTATGGTTGATTCCCCCCAGTATCAACCCTATGTTTAGCGCAGGAAAGGGAAGTGCCCTGCTGTGGTTGGTCCGGAATTATCGGCACCAAAGCCGATACAATTGTCCGAAAGAGGGTTTTCACTGCCCCCAAAACCAGTAGGGTGTTTCTTCCAAGGGGCGTAGCCCAACTATTCAACGGAGACTTCCCCCTTTTCAGCCCCTTTTGCTCTTTGACGCGGCACAACGTCCCGGGGAAGATGGTGTTGGATGTTCAGCATAGCTGTACTTAGCTGTAGTATACAACTATCCTCACCCCCAGCTATCCTACAGCCATGCCGCCTCAGAACTCTGAGTCGCGAGGACGCGGCGGCTTGCCGCCCGCCGTCGGAGTGGGCGCAGGCGTGGCGGAAACTCCAAAGGAGTTGGGTGTTAGTGGCCCTTCAAAACTTCAAAACCAAATGGGTATGGGTCGAAATTGAACCACAAGGGGACCGCAGGTTTTGTCCTTGGTTCCATTAACCAGGATTCCATTGTGGTCACCTATTCTAAGCCACCGCCAAGTTAAGTCCGGATCATAGGGGGAGTGTGTCGTCATTTAGCTTCTCATATCTCACAAAAGGGCTGACGCCGGAAACTGAAAGCCAAAACTGCTCCTTTCAGGTTGGTGGACTGAGACAAAGGGCTACAGTTGGTGAACTCTGCTTAGTGCAGATGGAGTTAAATGAACGTCGTCTCGTTCTTGTTTGGTGCTGCAAAGAAAGTGGCACATTTTGAAGCGCACCGCGACGTCTCAGCCTGATTTCCAGTAGATCCATGCATGGAAGCTCCCAGGACTTTGGGAAAAGGACTTCCTCGAGGTGTTTGGGTACCTGGTAACTTCCATGTGAGCCTTAGGGGGAGCAGAAAACGCCTAGCTGGTTGGAGACAAACGGGCAAATGGGTATCCAACCAGCGTTGCCCATGGACATGTTTGGTCATGGTGCCGAAATGTGATATCACTTGTGACCAGGTCCTTTCGGTTGCAAATGCGAAGCTCTTATTCCAAAACCGAGATGCTGACTATGGCCCGTTGAGGAAACCCCGCGTTTCAGACTTCGAAGATGCTAAACTGGCAGTCACAAGCAGTTTTGGGGCTGGCTTTCTCATTTGCCTCACTTCCAAGTTGTTGGGCGACCATACTTTAGACCATTTAAGCTACCTGCGAACAGTTTTTGGGTGTTGATTGTTTGCCACTCCCTCACGAAGTGAGGGTCAGTGGGAATCCCGGATGAGACGGAAGGATGTTCCTTTTGAGCTGTTGCCAAATCCTTGGGTGCATTCAACCGGACGTGCGTTTTGGTTGCCAGAGAAGGACTGAAACCCGGTTTGTCCAGGTTACCCTTCATTGGCGAGTGACATGTGTAAGAATAGGAGGGGGGAGGCCAGGGCCACGAAATTTTGGGTGGTTTTGCTTTTGGGCTCCCTATGAAAGCCACCCCAAAACGGGCACCGTGCCTTCCAGAAAGGGCACAGCGGATATAGCAGCAGGGCGGCTGGGCGCCGGCCGGCAGCTTGGCCGCCGGTCTGGAGGCGGCAGTTGCCATGGTTTCCCGTTGGTTGCCCGTCGCAGCCAGCCCCTTGACGTTTATTCAGCAATTTCCTGGATCCCGAGTTGCCCTTATTTTCCAGCTACTTTTGCCAAATTATGGGCTACTAGTGGGTAAAGTGGCTGGAAAAAAGTGGCTACTTGGGGATCCAGGTTTGGGTTAAGGGTTCTAACAATTACACAAACAAAAACAAGCCCAAACTACAACTCCCAGCAGGCCTTGGATTGCAGACTCAGAAAATAAATAGAACAACAACAGCTGTAGACTCAGTTTTCCCCGCCTACCCCCCTCCCCCCTTCCCCCTCCCTCCCTGTCCACGTTTTTCGTTGTGTTTTTCGTGATTATTTTCAGTTTTTTGTTTCTGTTTATTTTCTGACTTTGACGTTGAACTTTGCTTTTCTGATTGTTTTCTGTCTGTTTGTTCAGTTTGTTTTCTGTTGTTTGCCCTTTTATTTCTGAGTCCGATTTTGTTGTTTTTCAGTCTGACTTCCAAGCTGTTGTTTTCGTTCGTTAATTATTTGTTTTGTGTTGTTTTAATTTGTTTAATTTCATTCTTTATTTATTTATTTGCTGATTCTGGACCTCTCCATTGAAATCGAACTCTCAATTTGAGGGTTTAGTTTAGTATTCCGAAAATAAATACTTGTTGCAAGAGATCTGAGGACAGCCCAAAAAGCGAGCCTCGACAAAAAAACAGACTCAATAGTGGAAATTTGGTTCCCTTGACTATAGGTGACGTTGAACACATTGATTCGGTGGTGGGTGAGCACGACGACCCTCCTGCAGAGCAGACGTGAACTCGGCTTTCCTGCTGGTCCCCTAAACAACCTGACAAACGAAACCTGATGAATTCACACACACACACACCTGGCGCAACGGGGGGAAAATCGGGAAACTGGAACAATTGGGATTAGTTGCCAAAGTGGGTTGAAGACTCAAGTAGATGTTCAATGGATTCCACCCTCCTCTCAATCCCTTGCTGTTTGGTAGCGGTTTGCCCCGCTAAACATGGAAAATCCAAGAAATGAAACGATTCCCTGGGTGCGCCAGGTCACGCAACAACTGCCCTTTGTGTCACCTATGTTATGGCGAACCTCAGATCAAAGTGAATCGACCGTCAGCCTTTCGGTTTTCTCGTTTTGGTCCATTTTCAACTGATCCAAGCTTGCGCTTGTATGTGCAGGTCCTTTGCGCAGGTCCTTTGCACAGGTCCTTTGCGCAGGTCTTTTGAGGTATCCCTTCATTGGCACACTGAGCCGACCATTTGGTTCGCCCTTTTGGGGTTCTTTCGTCATCCCTTTGCACCAGCCACCATCAACAGATGTCAAGTTTTTTTCGAGGGGCACAATGTTGACACTGGCCCGTGTGCTTCCGAGTGTTTGCAGGCAGCGGATGCTCTGGCCGAGGTGATGCAGAAGAGGAGCCGGGGTAGACTCCACGAGTTGCTGTGGCCTTTGAATGGAAACGCGGCGAGTGTTTAGCTTCAAACCTCAAGTGTTCAAAGACGTTGCAATGGCCTGTGATCACCTCTTCAGGGCTTGGCGGTTTGTCTTCAGGTGTTGAACATCGCAGCCAAGGCAAAACATGTCTTTGCGTTCAGATGCTTTGCGGTTGTTCCGTATCAGCCCTGAAAAGGGGATGCCTGTTTCTTATCCTAGGGTCACTGGTTGCAACTAAATTAAACGCAGGGATTCATCAAAGTGAAGATGGTATCTCTGGTATTTCTTGAGCCTGAGCTGGCAAAATGCAAACCTTAACTTTCCCTCCAGACATGAAAGGCGGTCTCCTTTGTGTTCCAGCTAGTTTGCCAGCTGCCCCCTTGTTTTTGGAAAGGGACTTCCCTTGTGCAGAAACTATCCAGAACATCTCATGTTTTCCTTCCTCCCGGGGGTCAACACACTAACCATGTCCACCCAATGTTGCCAATGTTGCGTTTCGGAGAGCCTTCGCCGTTTGGCGGCAGCGACAAGGACAGTTTAGAGGATTTGGATGGCCAAGCAGCAACCGCGGGGACCTTTGTTTACACAGGCCTCTGTATACTTGGTTATGCTGCTGGCCGTAAACTCACTATGTTGAAAGAGATTTGGCAAGGATCAACTGTCGCCCCATTCGCTGGGCGTGCCAGCTTGAATTGTCTGTCAATTGCCCAGTCAAGGCTAGAATTAAGACTCGCCATCTTGGAGCCTTGCCCTTGTAGGCCACATGTTGGGACACCTCCCAAATCAAATGGCTGGGTTCTCTTTCGGAGTCCCTTCCGAAGCCATCGAGTTTCGGTTTCCCGGAGCCCCTTCGTCCGGGTTTCGGAGAGGGCGCCGGTGACCGCCTATGAGCTGAAGCCTCAGCTTGCTTTGCTGGTTGCCGCCAGGGTTTGGGTGTTGGAAGCCGGGTGCTACAGGGGCAACCACAAGTCGTGGTTTTTGTTGAGGCTCGAAAAGACGTCTTGGAATCGGTTTGGTTTTGGTTGTGGAGGCGATGTTTAGGCTCCAAAAGGTCCTTTGCCCAAATGAGACAATACTGGACCCAGCGTTCGGACTTCGTGCGGTATAAGATCCGTCGACACGGCCAGCGCAAAGTGCAATTCGTGCTTTGGTGGGAACACTTTGAACCAGGTATCAAAACAACCCAATAAGTTTTGAACTTTAAGCGTGTGTTCTTTTGAGGGATTGTCTTCAAAATATGGTCAAAATATGGTCAAAATATAAACCTTGAGTTCCGACTCGCGTCAAGCTTAAGGGCCCTCTCCATATTCAAACCGACGGCCCAAGCTGCCCACCTCAAAAGGGCCCCCAAGCCGTGAACCAACAATCAGGTGCTTCATGCAGAGCGTGAACCGGCGCCGCCGACGGCTCGTGGAGGAGCCGTCAAGGTTTTTGTCTTGGGGCGAGACGTGGGGGGTTGTGAGCCACCTGGCGCCCAGTCCCAAAAGGGTACCAACTCAAAACAAGAAACGCCAAGAACATTGAAGTTGTTTTGCTTGGTTTCTGGACTTGATACTTTTTGGCTTTAGCTGGGACCATTTTGCAGGCAAACAAACACTTGTTTTTTGTTGTTGGCCAATCCACTGGGGAAGTGAGTGTCCTACAAAGGTGATGCCTTGACCTGCGTACCCCATTCTCATTATTTAGGACCCTACAGCACCCAACCTTTTGACCTTGGCTTCCTAAGCAAAGTGTCACACTTGTTAGTCTTCCCTTGGAAGACTACTTTAAGGAGGCCCAAACATGATCCTCGAGTCATCGAAGCATTCTGTACCCACCAAGCCCAATCTACGCTCCCCTCCCACCAACGAACATGGAAGTGCACAATCCTCCTTTCCAAGAGGAAGTCGTTTTTCTACAGTCTGTGCATGGAATCCTCGGTGGGAGGTCTCAGGAACGGAGGGCTCCGCACACGCGCCCAGCCGTAGGAGCGGCAAGGTTTGGGTGCCGCAGCGCGGGAGTGGCGGGACACACTGCAGGCCGGGGGCTGCCTCGCGAAAAACCCAAATGAGGTTTTTTGGACCGGACTGGCTGGTCCAGGGATCCCGAATTTTCCATTTGGGGTCTTCAACCTCACTTTTTGGGCCGTTTCAAAGCGAGATTCCGGCTGGCAGAGTGATCTCGTGGGCTAAATTTTGACGGTGAGAGACCAACAAGTCACGCTTTAACACGCCTTTTCTAGGAGTTCAAGACGTGCGGTGCTGCGGCTCCCTGGTTGGTTTTGCTTGGGGCGGGGTTTCATTGCGGGCGGGCGGGCAGGCTTAGGCTGGGCCCATGGCCCAATGGACTGGATCTGGATGGGCTGTATGCGAGGGGACACATCGGACCGAAATGAACCCATCAAGTGGAAGCTGTGTTCGAATTTCATTGAAGCAAGAAAGGCGGGGTCAAATTGTATGGGTTTTCAGGGTTGTCTCTTTGCGACTACCCTGGATTCCTGCGCCCCAACAATATCTAGTTTGTTGTCTAGCATTCTTGCGCTGGACAAATGCCTCTAGATGTTTTCTTCCAGATATGCCAACCTTCCACAAAAATAATTCCACCAAGACCTGGGTACATGAAGGGCAGCAAGGGCCCATCGCCGCCCTAAACGCTGGTGCCAGGTTTGGATTGTCTCACATAGCCTTCGCAGTTCTTGTGGCAGGGTCCACTCCTTGTAATTTCTGGCAGCGGTTTTGTCCCGTGGTTTGACTACTCCACGAACGGCACCGAAGTGGCAGGCCGCGGACCCCAGCTTGCAGCCCCTGCGCGATGAGGAGTGCTCTATGAAGAGCCCAAGGGCGTCATGATTCATGATTCAGTGAAAGTATTGCACTGTAGGTCTTCCTTTCGCTAAAGAGGTTGACCCTAAGATGGCAGGTCGGTTGAAGCACCGGAAATGTCGTGGCGAAGGAAGAGACAAAGCTCCGGAGAGGGCAACGAACCGCCCCTTGCCCCAGTTGGTTGGGAGCGAACAGGAGCTGCCCCCGTCAGAGGCACGGCATCTCGGGGAGAGGATCATCGGGTCACGGCAAAGTTCTTGTGCCAAGTGAGGCGGCAGTCAAAACACGGGTAGATGAAGAGTAGTAAGGGGCCGTCCCAGCCGCCTCTCTTGGCGCTCAAAAAAGGCATTGCTTCACAAGGGGTTTTGAGCGGGTTCTGCTTTTTTGGAGGTGCGGAACGTGAGGCTGCAAAGAAGTGGTTGGGTAATTCCCAGGGAGGCTACTGCTCCAAAAGCCCATAGCCCATAGCCCTTCCTCGTCTCCCTGTTGGGGGCACTTGATTTTCCTGAACAACTATGTCAATTTCCTGAAGGGAACCCCACAAGGGCATGGATTTCGATTTTCTCACAGCCCCTTCTCACGTTCCAACGCCGAAACACTGGCTCGGACTAGCGAGATGCTTCCATTGCGTCGCCAGGGCTCTTTTGATCGATGGACGTTTTGCTGAAAAGGTTTGGCGGTACCTTCCCCAATGTTTTCAGGGACCTTGCCAGAAAACCACCAAAAACCAGAGAAATAGCTGGGTTTTCAAAAGAGCGATGGTTGAGCAGAATGGAAACAAAGCTGACCAGGGTTGTGTTAGCTTCCGTGCGTTTCAGAAGGCGCAGAAATACAATCGGTAAACGTGGAAGTTTGTATATATTTCTTAACTTGCACATTGCCAGGGGGCCATTGCCAACACTGCAGGTTAAGACTTTGAATGTACTTCTGACCATGTTTAATTTCTCGGGTTGTTAAAAATATCATTTCTTACCCCCAATACCAGCTGGTAGATGGTGCCCCCGGTGTTGAACAACCCTGAACATCCGACCCTCAGGCCCTGGGCTCAAGCAAAGGGAGGGCGCCCTAAGAAGAACCCGACCACAACTTCACGGAGGACCGGGGATCCCTCCCTGTCAGCTTCTGCAAGATAGGCACTTTGGTCCTGAGCCCCTCGCTAGGGCGGCTCCAGCGGCTCACGCCCGCGAGAGGACAGTGCTTTGGTTTGCCGCCGGAAATTCCAAGGTTGGGAGGATAATTTTTGGGGGCAAATGTAGTAGCGGTGTCTTTTTTGAAGGAGACCCTGCAGCCTTCTGTATAGAGAATCCCACGTCAAACCGCTGAATTTGGAGGGTCCCGTAGTGGCAGACAAGACCCATGTTCGTGGACTGGTCCCGGAAGTGAATCAACTGAACCAATCTTTGGGCCCAAGCTTGTTGCTGTGCCCATTTTTCTCTGACACATCGTTTCTGAGCTCTGGGGCAAGGGAGCTCATGGCGAAGGCCCCTTTGCAGGAACTCCTTTCCAGTTGTCCAATTGTACTTTCTGCAGATTGCGCGATCAAAAAGTGAAGGGAGCACTGCGGCAGAAACTTGGCCATGGCTTCAACCCCCTATTCCCCTTTTTGTCGGAGAAGGGCTTCCCTTCTCATAGTTCAATCCAACTAAATGGAAAAGAACAACCGAACAGCCACCAAGACTGCTCTTGTGGGTTTGGATTTGCTTACCAGAAGCCGACTGCAGCCCAATCAAAGGGCGCCAAACCCCACGTCTTTTGATCCTGTGGGAGAAACCAAAAGTAAATCGCTGACGAATGATGAGGAGGGCCTATTTGGAGACGGCTGAATTTGTTATTGTCCTTTTTTGGTCTTGACTGGAAGTCTCTCTGTTTGCCAGAAAGCCGATTTGCGGGTGCGAAAGTTAAGGACTCCAATTTGAAGCTGGAAACCATTTGAGGATGTCTTTGGAAAAGCCAGTCACATGATCAAACCAAATCCGGTTGGCCAACGCCCACCTTGTCGGACTTTTTGTGTCCGGTTTTGGTCTAGATTCTGTCACGATTCAAGGTGATCACCTTTGATTTCCCCAGTGAGCATGAATTGCCAACTGTTGCTGGGGCCGGTTCAACAGGCCCGAAGATGGGGAGGGA